AAAGTCTTTCAACGGAGTTTTGCAACTTTGTCCTGGACCAGCAACACTTTCGCATTGCCATTTTTGACACTGGCTTCATTCCGAAGTTCATTGATGATCTCATATGCACTTCTGTTCTCAGGTCAAATTTTGATTGGGGGAATCAACTTTTTGAAAATGTGTCTCAGCGGAATGTTGCTAAGGTTGGAAATGATCCGGGTAATTGGAAAAGTTCGAATGATATACGTACCATAATCTCATTTGGGCTTACTAGGCAACTTATTAAGCGAGATTTTCTCCTACCCAGCCGCACATCCATTGGTGAACTTGAGCGAGTTGGTTTGATCTATCTCTCTAAGTCTCAATATGAATGGTATACCATTGTTATGCCATTCGTACTTCTGAAGGTACTCAACAAAAGCCTCAAGGCGTCTCTAGTAGAAACTGTGTTTCCAGATCACCTTCTCTTCATTCCAACACATGATTCCCCTTGGCAATGGAGAGACTTTGAACTTCTATACGGGTATTACCAAAAGGCTATTATCGATAGTTTAATCAATGTCAAGGAGTCAAAATTGTTATCCACTAATTATAAAATTCAGCTACTCCAATTAAAAGAAGAAACTGATAGCAACAGAGAATTTCAAATCACTAATGAAATCGAAATGCATAAGAGATATCTTACCAAAGAAATGAGCATGAGCTGGCAATTATCTGATATATTTCGTGGTGCATTAGGTGCTGATACACTTCTCCAACGCAAGGTACGATTACATAATCCCAAAGTCTTTAATGAAAGTAAGAAGTTTCTTGCAAAGACAGACGACGTTGCAAGTTTTGAAAATTCAGTTTTATGTGATGACAATGTAACCCGCTCACTTGAGGAAGGCATTTTTCGCTGTTACCAAGGGAATGCTAATATTGATCACCGCTGGATTTTTGATTCTGCCGATAATGGAAAAAAATTGGCGATCTTTTCGCAAATCAAGTATTCAGAACGCGATGTAACAACTACTATTTCTACACCAGAAATTAAGAGATGGTATGAAATGACATTAGAATCGGTAAAAAATTACGAAACTGAATATGATATAGTACTTGTCTTATTCACTAACCGGCGTTGTACAGGAACTATCAATATAGAACAAATGCCTCGATTGCTTCTCATTTATCCAGAAAATATCAACACGTACCTTTCTCCGACATTTGCTCATCGTGGTTTAGTGGATGTTCCAAGTGAAAATGATTATATTTAGAATTGACATTGTAATTTCTTTGTATCAGAAGCCCGATATGGGCGAAAATCTTTATTGTTGGTTATGATGAACTAAAAGACAAATATTATAAATGAATTAAGTAGCGGACGTTTAAAGGGAGAAAGCATCTCGAGCCCTAACCCATAAAATGAGAACTCCTTTCCCTACTCCATATAATCTACTATTTCGTTAACTGCTAGCTTTACAATCGCTAAAAAATTTTAACTATAGTTTGTCTAATATTCTCTCCAAGTTCACGAATGCGCATTGCTA